TAAAATAATTCACATTCAGCAGAAACTTTTATTTAGTTAATAGTATAGTAGTTATAGTAGTTTAGTGATATAGTAGTAGTTATGTCTAAATGGGCAAGTTTTTTCAATTATATTTTTGCGCATTCCCACTTATTAGAATTGCACCCTACATAATATCATGAATTAAAAACACGTGTCACTGATGAGTACTGATAAAGTGATGACCGTCATCAGATGGTGTTATGTGTGTTTTCCTTATGAAGCACATTTGTGTGTAATCGATACTACCTGAGAAACATATTGTTGTTCACTTTTAGGACCTGCAATGCTGTTTATGCGAATATTGGCAGCACATTTGTTTGGGTCTGATAAAGACATTAGAGCTCATATCACATCGGGACAGATCCATTATCTTCTACTTTTGCTGACGTTATCAATCTATTATCTAGAGGCTTGTACCGACCAATATATAAATTTTACATAAAAATAAGTATCACTTTTAGTGAACGAACAAAGTATCCATTAGCAAGGATGTAATACTTCACTGACTTTTGTAGTAGTAGCAGTAGTAATGATAGTAAGAGATTGGCACTTTGTAAACTATTCCACTGAAATGTAAATAAAACATTAACGCCAATCAAAATTTCTGGACCTAAAATTGTCTGCCATCAACAAGGCTATTAAGGGGTTTGTGATTGCACTCTAGGAGATACCTACGTCAGAGCAATAACTACGTCACTACACTACGTCAGAGCAATAACTACGTCACTAGCTACACTACGTAGGAGCATAGTTTTGGGCTGGACACTTTGGCCTTTACAGTAGTTTGGCCCCAGATTATAAGCACAACTTGTTCTCCTTATTACTTAAAATCGCATGCCCGCTTAAATTAATAAATTAAATAACTTTCATTTAATATAGTAGTAGTAGTAGTAGTAGCATGAACTTGTGCCATGTTAACCCATTAGGGACGACGAGTTTTAAAGTTTGCCGATTTTGATGCCGGTTTAAACACTAGGTCACTTTACAGCAAAAATGAGATATCCAAAAACGCTAATCTGTGTCATCGTTTACTTTTAAAAGATTACAGCTATGGTCGCATACGACCCACTCGTCAGGGTCGCAAACGACCCCATCACGGTTTTTCGGCTATTACTTCTGGAAACAAAGACGGTAGGATTTAAAATAAAAACTGTAGCATAAGTTACAAAAAATATATGGTCCAATACTGTCTGACTCTAACTTTTCAAAATAGAGAATTTGGTCATAACGACCCACTCGGCTCACTTGCTTATTACACATTTGTCATGTAACTACTTGGAATTCAGCTAAAACATGACATTCATAGTGCAAACTCGCCTCTCAGCAAGTGATTTCTCATTAAACTGCGGAAAAATCGGTTAGATGGGTCATTAGCGACCCACCAGAGACCACAAATTGATTAATTAAATTAATGTTGTCAAAACTCATTAAAATATTAGTATAAAAAACATGTGATATCTTGGTCATTACTCCTGTTCCGTTGATTTAACTTTTAAAATCGATCAACTGGGTCAATAACGGGACCAACTCGGATGTTGAACCACGTCATTAATTATCAGGATCATGCTTTTCCACCATCAAGAAGACCACTTGTAGGTCTTATCCACGCAAACCACGGGTGGATGACCACTAGCCCTCTGAAGATCTGAAGTCTCAAGGTGATTGTGATAGGCACCAATCAAGACGAATAATGGACAGAATGGGATTGATAGGTAGGTGAGTTTATCAGCTGTTAGTACCACGACAGTAAGTGTCTGTGAGACAACAAACAACATGCCTTATTTTTCCCGATTCCCGATGTCCAAGAAGAAACTATACAACTGCTGGATTCAGATTTCAGATGGCTGCATTACTCATTTTCGCAGCTGCCTTTCTTTATTCTTAGGGGCCGTTCACATTGACATAATATTACGGAATCACTTAGTGGACCAATTTTTAGCCCCGCCCCCCGCCCTCACCACATAGCTATTATGTCAAAATTACATAGCGTAATCATTTGGAAAACCCCCCTCCCTCTCGGCCGATTACGTAATACCTTGGTTTCGTTTTGAAAGCTGCTTCGTTGTTGCGGGGTTGTTACCCACAACGAAGTAGTTGTCTGAGAGATGCAGGTGGTTGCAGCACCGCCCGCCAGATGGGGGGGGGGGGGGGGGGGGGGGGTTTTTCTTGTCCTTCTTCACAGAGCTGTAGATTTGCCATCTGATGCAGCAGTGGTTAGTTATTCTTGTCTTTCTAGGAATGTCAAACAGATTGGGCATGTTGGATTAGAATTATGCAATTTGACGCTCTTCTTTCAGTATTTACCCAAGGATACAGGATATTCTCGTAAACTTGTTCAGGGTTTTTCTTGAGTTACATGATTGATCAACCGTGGGACCTGGGTTCTCAAGCGGTGAGTTGTAGCAAGGTCGTTTTCCAAGATTCGGAATTGACGAAAGGTAACAGAATCTATTAAGCAAACAAACCAAACAGCATGGCTTTTACCTAGCAAGTTAGACACGAGGGCCGATATCCTTTTCTTTTGCCGACACGGCCACCGGTCCTTTCGGTACAGATTTCCCACGCACCATAGTTCTGGACGCAACTCCAGGCCTATGCAGTCGTTTGGTATTCTCGCAGCTCTTTGATGAGTGATGACTGCCCTTCAGTTGGCCTGGATCTCAGAAGGACTAGTTGTCAGCCACCGTGGGTTTGTGTGGAATTAGACTACGAGTGTCTTTCTTGATGGTGGATGGACAGCATGATACTGATAATTAATGAAGTGGTTTCAACTTCGAGTGGGTCGTTATTGCCCAGATGATCTCGATTTAAGAAGTTAAATCAACGTACAGGAGTATTAATGACCAAGATCATAATATGTTTTTATTAATATTTGTAAAAGTTTGACAAAATTATATTTAATTAATCAATTTGTGTCCTAGAGGGTCGCTAATGACCCATTTTAACGATTTTTCGCAGTTTATGATGATAATCACTGGCTTGAGAGGGCGACGATTTTGCACGTATGAAGTCATGTTTAGCTGAATTCAAGAAGTGACTGGACCAAATGTCAGTTAATAGCAATGTGTGCCGAGTGGCGTCGTTAATGACCCAAATTCTCTATTTTTGAAAAGTTAGAGTCAACAGTATTGACCATACGTTTTTTAACTTATGCTACAGTTTTTCTTTTATCCTAACGTCTTTGTCTTCAGGAAGTAATGGCCGGAAAAAACCGTGGATGGGCGTTTGCGACCCGGACGAGTGGGTCGTGCATGCGACCGCAGTAGTTTAAACAGCGTCTAGCTCGTTTGTGAACATTGATTATCACGGGTTTTCATTTGTGCAAGGAAAATCGTTGCCTGCAAACTATTTTGTTTTCAAAAAATATAAGCTTACATAAAGTTTTAATGTCCCAATCAAGCAAGAAGTTAAGTGAAATTATTTCCAATTTGACGGACTAATTGTCTTAATTATTTTATTGTTTGTGATTTAATTGGGTTCTCGACTGGAAGTCAATACTGTAGCCAATAAATGTGAGCATATGTGCCGGAAAGTTTCGTGGCGTTTAGTTTTTGGTATGTCTCTAGAGCCTCTAGAAAAGGTGGCGTCGTTTAAACGACCCTATCGTCCCTAATGGGTTAATGAAGATATGTATCCTTGTGTCCAGTGCCCCACCACACAAGGTACATGTCTAGACATGCAAGGTATGTGTAGACATGCAAGGTATGTCTAGATACTAGATACTACATACTAGGCAGCACAATTACATGTTAAGGTAAGCTGACCGGCAGGCAGGTGTACAGGAATGTAGAATATGCTCCCTATCAGTCACCTGATGTTAGGATATAAGTGAGCTACACGTGAGGTGTAAAGATGGGGATTTTTAAGTTTTCATAGTGTCTGGAAAACTGGCCAATATTTTAAGGGGAAATAGGTACAATGCTGACCGGCTATTAACCGGCTATTAGTCGGCTGTTACGGTAACAGCCCTCTAACCGCCCTTAACACAAGTAAGCGGCGTCTGTTAAGGGCTGTTACCATAACAGCCGGATAATAGCCGGTTATTAGCCGGTCGGCATGGTACCTATTCGCCGATACGGGAAGTTGCTAAAAGGGAGCATATTCTAATATAAATTCCTGAGTAGAAGTCTGGCCTCTTACAGATAATTTGCAGTTAATTTTACAGATAATTTGCAGTTAATTTTACAGATAATTTGTGGTTAATTTTACAGATAATTGGTGGTTAGTTTTGCATGCTGCTTAGAAGTATGCAGTCAACCACTCGCCTAACCCTTTATCAGTGGTAACTTATAACAATAAATGTATTAATAATCATAAGCAACATTGCTTTATTGTTTCCAGTATATAACATTGCATCATGCTGCACCAGTAAACTGATAACAGCTTGTGGTACTATACATGTCTAGAACATGCAAGATACTTGCTACTTCCAATTCCTGTATCTAGCTAATTCTGATGGATTAGATCCATCACGTACTGTAGATAGACTCTGAAAGTTCGGCAGATATTTTATATTATATATATAATATAACCCAGGATACATAAAATGAAGACTTGTTGTAACTTTGTATGATAAGCATTTAATATATTATATACGTGGAAGTAGTGTGCATGTAACCGTCTGCAGCTATAACAGTATGTGAGGCAGGTGGCAGGTAATAAGTCCACTAGTAATCAGGCGTGTAGTGAGCTAGTGATGTTCAAGAAGCGGAAAGGATTGAGAGAACTTGACAGTTAGATTACTTATTAATCTGAAGGTATACTAGGGGGAAGGAGGCGATGAGAAGTCTGGACAGATATTTAAACTTGATTAAATATGGCTAAATTTTGGTGCGGTCTGATCTACTCACATGGCGTTATCAGTATAGTTATCAGTATGGTTGTAGCATACTTCTGTGACAATTAACCAATTTATAAGGTAACTAATTAAGTAATTAGTTAATTAGTTCATAGCTGGTTGATCAATCTCTCTATTTCAGGTCTTACCCCAGAGATCAACGAGACACTGCTGTCCATTGAAAAGAGGTAATACATTTGTTTATTGAAATCTTTTAAATCAATCAATTATATACAAATTACACAATGGAATAAGCTACAAAATATTTGCAAGCTAGATTACTATGCAAAATGTACTTAAAATGCATGTAATCAAATGACTTGTGGGTCACCAAAACACAGATATCAAGTGCAGATGCAACTCCTGTACAGTGTACAAGCATGGGACCATCCAAAATCAGAATATACCCCCACAATTAATCAATACAATCAATACAAGTTAACCGCCAATAAAATAAATTACCAATCCAGTCAATTAACAATCAAATTACATGTATATGATATTTATGAATTATGAAAATAATGGAATGAGATGAGATGAAATGCAGCTAAAATTTTCAAGTTTAGTACCATGCAATGGCCACCAATCATACATCACGCATCGATCATACATCACCAATCATACATCACGCATAGTTAATGATAAATAAATTGATCACGTAACATTACTTTGCAACATGCACTTCATATAATTCGTACTTTTAAAAATATGTACCTGTTTTTATATTTTTATATGACTTTTAAATTGATTATCGAAATTTAAACCCGTCTTCAAATTTCCACTGCTTCGCCTCTTTTTTTCGGTAAAATCGCTACCTTCTGTAAACAACCACTGTGTTGTAAGAATGTGATTCCTTCTGTAAATATGTGTGTTCATTCGTCTCACGGCTCATGTAAGGCTTCAAATTAGACGACATTTCGCTTCACAATTCATCTGATTTATACGGTTCCTCTTTTTAGTTTTTACAAAGGCTTCTATTACATAAGATAAGAATTTTACTGCTCGAGATGAATTTGAATAGAAAGAGGACTAACAAGTTTTTGTTAGTTCTAAAATCGACAAATCATGGATTTCAGAGGTTAAATATAACCGAAAGCCAATCGCCAAATAGCTGTATCTTATTACACTGCCTTCATCAGATTAGTCTTCAGCGTTATTTTGGGACTGGCAGGTCTTTAGCGTCGAACAGATTGTTTTTGTGTTGCTAAGTAACCTTGTCCCTTTCCTCTTTTTATAACCGCACAAACAACATAATTATTGATTTTCTGCTATATTCCTAAAACTTACAAAATCAAACCCGTACTGACAACAAAAACCCAGAAACTCTTTTACGTAACGCGCAACGAATTTTAGATGCTCCGCACAACGGAACGTTTTGTAATCTCTGTAGAAATTAGCGTGCTCGCACGTTGACAGGCAAAGTGAAAATCCAATTTTATCCTCTGCTGCGCTTCTTCGACGTGTATCTTGCTCAGTCAATTCATTTTCAGGTTGTTGAATCTCGAGAAAAAGATAGTCCTGAACTCTGGCGACACCCCACCTGCGGTGTGGGATATGAGAGCTAAAGTGGAGAATCTTCGAGAAAAACTGGAAAGTGTGGAGCACATGAGCTGGCTGGGCCTCTACAAAGATATAGACGGGTATGTTACAATCCTTAAAGATACGTTAGCTTTTCGGGTATGTTAAAATCTCTCCGCTTTTAAGATGCAGTTTCTTTTCACATTGTATCTGTTATTTTATTTCTTTATGAAAATATGATCTAAATTTTGATGTTTTAAATTCGATAATTTTTGGGCATCGAAATTGTGAGTGAAATATCTCAGTTATTTAATGTTCTCACCATTTGAATTAACATATGTCTCAGAAAGAATACTAAAGGGAAGAACAGTCCCAACAACAATGGAATGGTTCACTGCTGTGGCACTAAAAAGACGAAGGAAAAGTATCTTTACAGTCAACAAGTATTCGAGAAATTCGAAAAACTACGGTTAGCCACATTCCTTTTCTAAAATCTACATTTTTTTGAAATCAATTGAAATTTGGAAAAAATCATGAGAATCAAACCACATCGTTAGTACAAAATACCTCTTGCAATATTCTTATTCCATCTTAGAATAAACCATGTAATTATGTAATTATGTAATTATTTAATTAAATGCACTTGTAGATCAGTAGATTTGACGGACGCTACAAGGGAACTCCTCAAAAAGCCCACATTTGACATATGGCAATGGGAAGACTCAGAGATGCTTTATTTACTGCAACAGATGTTTGTTGATTTAAAACTTGTTGAGAGGTTGTACATTGAGGTAATTACTGACTCTGGAATTTATTTCGTCAAATTATTATTACAGTTTATTACAGCCTCGGAATTTGTGATTTTTGAAAGAATGTTACGTACGTACGGACTATAATTAATGTACTTTTTGTAGTACAGGAAGAACCGTAATATGCCGCATAAGTCAGTGTGGTGGAAAACCTTTTAACAAAAATGGATTAATAAATAATTCAAATATTTAAGAGTTATTATTTCAGCTGCCGATGTTGCAAGCGTTCCTGTTTCAAGTTCATCTCAGTTATAATTACACACCATATCACAACTTCCGGCACTGCTTCTGTGTTACTCAAATGGTTTGTTAACTTCCATTTTAATTACTTTTCATTTGGTTTTATAGTTTGAAATGTATTACCTGAATCTGAGGTAGTGTATTGAACACAATATAAAGCTGCACTAAATCCACCAATTATATGTAACGATATGGACATCACTAATTATAATCAATCTAACTAAAAATTTTGCAATTTTGTACAAATTATGTAATGGTCCGCTAATTATGTTATTATCTAATCACATAATTACTCACAGATGTACGGTTTAATCTGGTTGTGTAATTTGCAAGAAAAGTTGGACGATATAGAAATGTTGATACTTCTGGTGGCGGCTATTTGCCATGATCTGGATCATCCTGGATACAATAATGCTTACCAGGTAAAATAGCTACATATTCATTTTACATAGTTACATATTCATTTTACATTGTTACATATTCAGTAATAAATATATTCATTTGGACCTAAACCAGACATGCTAAATTTTGAATATATAATGTGAATTTTCCAACATTTGAATCGGAAGACACGTAAATATATAAATCAAATTAACAAACCTAATGTCAGGTGAACGCGAAAGACCGAGTTAGCGCTGCGATATAACGACATTTCACCCCTGGAAAACCACCACGCAGCCGTAGCTTTTGAGATCCTCACCTGTGATACCAGCAACGTGATTAAACATCTTACTCCGACTCAGCACAAACAGTTCAGATCAGGAATGATAAAGTTAGTCTTATTAATCTCATAATCTGTACTTATCATGTGTGCGGCTAATTGAATGAATTGAAGAATTAAGAAGGAAATATTCACGAAATTGATTCTTAATATTGACTTCATGAAACTTGAAGTTCGATAGGCTCGTTTCGTTGAAAACACTTATCAAAGTATAGGTGTTAAAAGAGCCAGCCAGTAGACTAATTAACTAATTAACTAATTAACTAATTGACTAATTATTTCAGATGTATCCTAGCTACAGATATGGCTCGACATAACGAAATAGTAACCTCCTTCAAAGGCCTCAATGGTTGCTATGACAACGACAACGCCGACCACAGGTTACTTATGATGATGATATTCCTGAAGGTTTCCGATATTTCAAATGAGGCTCGCCCAATGGATGTGTCTGAGCCGTGGGTGGAGTGTCTTCTTCAGGAGTTCTTCATGCAGGTAATCCTTTTCAGTTTCCCTTTCGTCCATTTTCTGTTTCTTTCAACACTTTCACAAATGATTCCACTTTCTCTTTCATCTTCAGTCTTTAATTTAATTTTCACTTTTGTATTATTGGGAATGTTTCATTCAGACGTAGTCTACGTTTCAAATAAGCAATAGAAAAGGCAGATATCTTTAGTGAAATAACAATAACAACACTGCAATCAAACAGTCAGACGCAGAGAAGCTGGAAGGACTGCCCGTGGCACCGTTTATGGACAGAGAGAAAGTAACCAAACCATCGGCTCAAGTTGGGTTCATCAAGTTTGTTCTTATCCCCCTGTACGAGGCAGTTGCAGCCATGTTCGAGGAGATCAGAGTGAGTAAAACATTAGTAACATTATTTGGGTCGTTGCCAAGGTTGTTAGTCTGAGGGTTAGTGAAGTGAGAACGTGTTAAATGACTCTTTCTCCCCCGAATATTTAATCCAATTTTCGAATAAATTAATCAAGTCATTAGTATGAGATATTAAGACTTATATTATTAACATTGTAAGATATAAAGGCTTTATTAAAAACATGTTCCAGGAGCCTATATTGGCGCCGGTAGTGCGCGCTCTGGACTACTACAGTGAAATGAACAGGAAGTTTGAGCAGGACAAGGAGGCCGTGAAACTAAAGCAGGACGGACGCAGGATATCCTCCACTATCGATCCAAAGGTTTATACCCTTTAAGATTACTGACAATTAACTTATTATTTATTTAATATATAATAGATTTAAAGTAAAAATAACACTAACTGAAATTCGAGTCCACCCGAAACCATCCAAAAATCCTCTGTTCCTGATCGTTGACAGTGACTTTCTCAATCATGATGCTATTTTTATCTGTTTGTGTTTTTTATTGGCTGTTGCCTCTCCCAATGTCCCATCTAAAGGTAGAATATTTAAATCCTTTTTATCAGGTTGAACTTAAGAGAGTATCAGTATCACGGAAAACATCAGAAGTGAGATCTCCGGACGATCTTTCCTCTTCCAGCTAGCAGTAACCATGGCAACCACAGCTACCACTCTTAGTTACCATGAATACCGATGCTGTCATGATAACGATTCACTGATTATTTCGTATTTCGTCAAATAATTTGAGCGAATTTGAGGTAGAAACAAGAGATCCATTATATCAATAAACCTATTGGAGACAAGAAGATTAATTAATTAATCAATTAATTATTGATTATGGTGATTTTATCCACTGGACCTACTGACAGATATTCTTAACATTCTCCCTTCAGTTAAGGGACTTGAAAGCTATATCAGGGCAGTATCCAAGAAGCCCGACCAGTTATAGTCCGCATACCAACTACTTATGACATGATGGTTAGCAGATCATATGTCCGCTAACCAGTCATGATATGTGAACGACCCCTTACGGCCTGACCATCGTGTCATGAGTGGTCCGCGGACTAAGTCGTGTTTCTCGGATACTGCTCATATGATCCCAGTGAGGTATGACCTAGAACTTGCTGGAATGCTCCCACGTGATATCTTATCAGTTGTACGACATTTAACATTTATTACGTAAGAGAAGGTTACTTAAATTGCTGAAAGTGCATTTAGTATAACTTCAGGGTGTTCCAAGTTTCGTATTTAAAATTTAATTGTTTGATTATACATCCTCGTTTGTTATTTTTAACGACAACTATATCCTGTGATCCAATATTAAGAGACTCGTTGCTCTGCAAGCTTCCTTCTAATTGGAAATTTAACGGTATTTAACTTGAGTAAGGATAGAATCTTATTAAAATGAAGAATAATTAACATGATTAAGTAACTTAGCATTGAGTTGTTGAATAAGGATAGAATCTTATTAGGTAACTTTGAAGTAGCATCGAATTGTTGTTCAATCCTAGCAAAATTTATAGTTTGATTTTGATTTCCCGTAACTGTAGTCTTAGTATTGTAAAAAGTGCGACTTGAGTTGTTTTTACATTGTTATTGTTAATGTTATAGTATAATAGTTTCCTGTGTAACTACTAGTGACCTGTTATGAAATATTATTACTTTGTTTTATCACTGTATTTACCTGAATATTCCGGAACATTCATTCGGAGAATTTAGCATCGGGGATAAAGTCAGACTATTTAAGAGACTACGATATTGCATAGACTATAGTGTTTTCAAATAAAATTGGCCTTAATTTGCGGTTGATTTGCACACTACAATTGTGAGTGCATTTTAAAATTGCCTTAGGGTATAGTGTGGTGGCAACTTCTCTTATACGAAAATAGATTTGAGTATAAATGTATATTAGAAGACATTGTATTGACAAAGTGGTGCCTCCCAAATTTCAACCATTTGGTGGTGAGGTTTGCAGGTTTGCTCTAATTTAAATAATTATAGGTAGATTCGATGATCATTGCGTAAGGGAACAAACAACTGTGACAGTTTTGAAATCGTAAATTGATCATTTTCTTATTGTAAATAGCTTGTAACTACATAGTATAATAGTACATTGAAATCTGTATCTCGGTTAGGATACGTTTGAATATTCATTTGATCTTATCTTAATAACTCAATAAATTATGTTGTGTTTTCATTGTATTAAAAGAAATAGAAGAATCGACGTTGAGCAATAGTCGTTGGTTTTTAATGACACAAATAGCGGAACTGTAAATCACCGGTCCAGTAACAAATATGATTTAACATAGAGTTCTTGCGATCCTTCAAATCTAAAATCTAAATACACATCTAGATGGATGGTAGTACTAGTTGTAGTTGAATTCTGGTTTTCGAAAGCTTCAGTTCTTCAGGAATAATTTGTTGAGGAAACATTATTTCCATGTGTTCTTGAGAAGTTGCTTGATGATGTTTTTATATAGCTTGTCACAAAATTCACACAAACTATATCGCCTGTTTGTCAGTGTCCAATATTATGTTCCTCCTACCAAAGTATGTACCATCAGCCCGGTGAGCTTGAGTTCATAATTATTTGAGAATATATGTGAACCTATAATTTGTCTGACCATAGCTTAGGGGCCATCTAACTAGGACGTCCGCCAAAATCGCAGATTTTCAGACCACCCCCCTCCCCCTGTCCGGGTGTGTCCGAATTTTCAAAACCACCCCCTCCCCCGGACGTCCGGATTTCCAGCTACTTTTAAGAGTATAAATAAAACCAACTCAAATTCATTGTTTATAAAAAGTATAGTTACTTAAAATAGACAATAATAAATTTAGTGTCGAACAAGTTCAAAGTTTAGCACAGTTACATTTAAATACATTTAAGTACTCGTTCAAAATACAGGGATCTTCATCTAAACTTACAGAGTAATTATATGTATTATTATTCGTGTCAAAGAGTTGAAATAAATGGGACTTTTTCGTTAAATCTGCCAAAATTTCCGGACGTCCGGATTTTCAGAAACCACCCCCTCCCCCTGTCCGGATTTGTCCGAAATTCCAAAACCACCCCCCTCCCTATTTGCCGGACGTCCTAAGTAGATGGCCCCTTAGTAAGGTACATACTATATAATATTCCGGGGTATATCACCGCCCACTGGGCACCGGTAATATACCTACATTTTAATATACTTAAATATGGTCAGCCCCCCCCCCACATGCATCTATAGACACGATAGCCCGGACACCTGTAGCTACAGGGCTCAAATAAGACTGCACGTGGAAATAAGATAACACGTGCATATTACGCGTTTTGTAATCGAAGTTTAAGTAGTCGCATTAATGGCGTGATTACAGATTATAAGATTATTTATAAGATTATTCCTTATATCATAGAATACTATACCGTATACTGTAACCGTTTTACGTTTTAGCTTGAACGTGGCTTTATAATATCCACTGACTGTATATTTTGTATTGTAACAATATAAGCAACAGCTTTAAACATTCTAACGCATACTTAAAATTCAGCTAGGTTGAGAAACGCACACTTACCATCGATTATATCATTGGATCATGAGCTGACTGCACCATGGGTATAAGAGTGGAGTGTAGTGATGTAAAGAGAGCTCAGTGATCTAGAAGCTCTCACGTTAAAGGATGTTGAGGTTATACGTCCAGTACAGGACAGCTAAGTACAGGGCGCTAATCGTCCATTACTATTACCTCTTGTTTAGCACCCACACACTTGTTTACCTACTCATGCTTGTGTTTACATCACCTTTATATAACCCTACCCCCGCCAGCCCGCCTTATATAATCTTACCCCTTGAACAACCCCTTGCTTTACACAGTGTGATACGTGGCTGGTTTGTTCTCTTACAGGGTGTTTACTGTTTAGTGGGGGTGGGTGAAATGTTGTGTTATTGAACGGTTTGATCTGTTGATACTTCACCTGAATATTTTAAGTGAGGAAACCCTGTGTGTGTGTGATGTGTGTGTATGGGTCATGTGTGTGTTCATTTCCGTTTTCAGTGCACGTGGCCAAGAATTATTTATTATTAGTAAGAAGCGGGAAGAAAGTTTCAAATCGGGTAGAGTGTATGCTGCACATTGTGAAACTATTTCTTAAATCGCTTCAATCTTTTGCGAGCGGATTTGTCAAGGTTAGATTTGTGAAGAGGCTTGTATTCTATATTGCAGTTAGTCCACTTTTTAATCCAGAGTATTGACATTATCATCAATGCGGCCGGCCGAATAATAATAAATGAGTAACTTACTTCAAATAAAAGGAACACTCACTGTGATCAGAAACGGTTTATTGGGGCTCAGTTCTCGTGAAATTGGAACAGTTTGGTTACTCAGACGAATTTGGTCTGCAATTTTTGTACAGGTTCCAGCCGTCTGCCGTAGTAATTATACTTCCAGCAGTCCAGCTGCTGTAATTTCTTTGAAATTCATCATCTAACTAAAGTTAAACGTTATTGCCTAAACAATAAACAACATTCTGAATGTCTTCAAGTTCAAATTGTGTACACTGAAATTATATTCTTACTCCTTCAAAAGGTTTACATAAAACAAGTTAAACAGACAATATTATTAAAGCAAGCTTCTAGTTTTGGGATAGCCTGTAGCAGGCAACGCCCGATACTAATGCTTTTTCAGACCTATACACAAGTGCTTAGTGCATGTAAGTAGGTAAATATATCATGCTAGGCATGTGGCACCCATTACGGTAACCATCCATTGAAGTTTTTGCTTTTCGCTGTACTACATTACACAGCTCAATGGAATACATTTAACAGTAGTTAATCAGTAGCAGTAGCTGATCAGCTACTGATCAGTACCTGCAGGTCAGTAGCAATATCAACTTTAAGAGTGCACTTTCGTCACACTCCTGTTAAAGTTTATTTGGTAATGGTATAATAGGTATATATAGAAGACCTTATACTCTTATATATAAGAGTATAGATGTGGATACTGGTGGGGAGGTGAAACACATTTGTTTACTTTAATAGTAAGCACATGTTCAGCGGGTTGAGGAGGTGAAACACATTTGTTTACATTTTTAGGGTAAGCACATGTTCAGCGGGTTGAAGAGATGATACACATTTTGTATTATAGAAGGCTTGTAACACTTGTAACGCTTTCTTGTTACCCCCCTTTGAAGGCCCCGAATCATTTTCTGAACGAAAGCTCAAAAATAACCGAGAAATCGACCTTCTTATTAACTCATTTTGATGACTGTTTCTGACCTAAAATTGCACGAAAAATCGATTTAGCTAGGTTTCAGAACCTATAAACACTTCCTTATCCCTCAAAATTGATGTTTTATAGTTGATACGAGCAACAAGCAACATATGTTTTGATCCTTCGGTTCTACTCATACCTAGGCAGTTAAGCTGAACCCGACAGATCGAGGCAATCCTCACCTTAACTGATCAAACTGGTACTAACACAATTTTCAGATATAAATGTTCTTTGCGATACGTTTATTGCAGCTTTGCAACTTGAGTGAAGACCAGAGTACGAAAACACACAGCAGGTAAGCAACTCACTTTTGGTGACTGTTCCTCACGAACATTCTGATCCTGTAACAATTTAGTATACGGCAGCTTAGAAGTGAAACCCACTTATTGTAGTACCAACTATAGTCATACGAGACTAAGGAATAATATACATAAATAAGTTACATAATAAATTACCATATATAACAAACATATGATCAGGGAGATCGTCTCCTTAACAAATCGAACAGGTACTATCACAATTTCCAGAGCAGGTACTATTACAATTTCCAGAGCGTAATTTTCACAATTTCCAGAGCATAACAAAGTCAAAAGAAATCCAACTCAGCTCGACAGAACTCATTCTGGCAGCTTCGTACATGGATATAAATGGGCCGGTACCGCCACAAGAAACATCTCCTCTAGCAAAATACGCAAATGATAACAACATCCCGCTCATTATAGGGTCGGACACCAATTCCCACCACACCCTTTGGGGGAACAAGGCATGCAATAAAAGGGGAGAGGAGCTTCTTGACTTTCTCTCCTCCCTAGGGCTGTCATGTGCCAACAAAGGATCATCCCCAACCTTCCTCAACTCTCGAGGCCACAACTCAATTATCGATCTCACAATAACAAACCAGTTGGGAGGAGATCTCATTAGTAACTGGCATGTTAGTGACCTTTACTCCAACTCTGACCATCGCTATATTATGTTCGATATAACTACAGGGCCAAAGAAGGAACCCAAACAGATCCGACTAGTCAAAAACACTGACTGGGACAGATTTGATGAGATCCTATCGAATAACCCCAACCTTAACAACACACAAATCAACACTACGACTGAAATTGATCACAAAATAGACATAATCAATACTGCACTAAAGGAAGCCTTCGAGGAGGCATGCCCCATTACTTACATCTCAAGTTCCGTCCGCAAACCCCCCTGGCTAACTCAAGAAGTAGAGGAAGCACAGAGGGGAATAAGACAAAAACTGATTACTGCCCGCAAAAAGAAGACTGATGCCCTGTGGCTCGCTCTTAGAGAGAGCAACAAACAATACAACAGACTTATAACCAACTCCCAGCGTAATGCCTGGAGAACTTTTTGTCAGGAAACAGAGTCTGTTAAGGAATCCGGAAGGATGAATAAGATTCTGAAATCCTGTAACGACAACAAACATACACTAGAAGCCGTTTACAAACCAAACGGAGACATCACCAAAAATGCAGAGGAGACATTGGAGGTCATGACACGAACCCACTTCAAGGATAGTGTCACTGATCCGCCAGTGCCTCCACCTGGTCCTCTACCAATCACCACCACCTTACTCAATACCATCTACAGCCCAGACAGAATCGAGGAGGCTCTTAAATCCTTCGATCCGTTGAAAGCTGCTGGACCCGACACCCTCAAACCTATCATCATACAGAAAGCTTGGACACACATCAAAGACATCACCAGAACCATTATGACAAAAAATCATGAAACCCAACACATTCCAACTTTGTGGAAAGAATCCCTTGGAATCTTTCTCCCAAAGCCTGGAAAAACTGACTACAACCAACCAAAGTCATTTCGCACTATCACCCTTTCTCCAGTGATGTTAAAACTACAGGAGAAGGTGATACTGTGGCATATGCAACACGACCTTAATATCGCTAAAGACA